AGTTAGGTAGTACAGTTAAGATATGGAACCTGTAACCTATTTTCAGATTGTCTCCCCTGCCACGTTTTCCTATAGCATCAGGTGACTATGACTAGAACTGATCTTCACATAACTATTTTCCTATTGTCCCTTATATGGTGACACTACCAGGTTAATGACAGGCCATAAATAGTGCTTCATATCAATAATTCTCAAAAAATGAAATATTTAGCCCTTATTTTTTAATGCAATGTGCTATGTCATAAACAGGTCTGCTATATAAAGATGAAAAATCTGATTTTTCCCTTTAAGATCTAGTAAGAGCAGTCTGAACTAATATCCTCTGATTTAAGACCATCTGGATATACACTTCCCGTTATGGACATCCTGAATTATGATACACTAATGTTTCTAGATGTCTTAGTACAGTTTGCACCATTTTCTAGTTAATAGTCAGTGGAACAGTGATGTACTTGGTTGCATACACTGCTAGTACTTACTTAATTGCATCCAAAACTGAAGTGTAACCAGTTACTTTTGCAACCAAGATGTAGCTCATATAGCTGATTTATGTTAAATGAAAACTGGATTTTGCAGTCGTAGCAAGTGCATAGTCCTCCTAATTTCAGAGCTGTGACTTTTCAGCATGTACTGGAAGATTTTACAGCATCTTTTTCATTAATTCCATCATTTAAATCACTGATGACAACACATTGCACAAAAATAATTTTCTTCTAATCTGAACCTTTATTCATCTTAAGTGAATCTAGATGAAAATGTTGAATCCTTACTAAGAACCACCAGCATGACTTTTAAAACAATGGATTTAAGGGGAAAGGAGACACGAGGGAATCAAATAGCATACGATTCTCTTATCCTCATACCTATCAGTGCAAGAGCTTTCTTACAACAGTAAACAGTGTTGTAAAGTTTCTGAAATGCTCGTGGCCATCATCACAGCCCTGGTCACACCCAACTCTTAGAGCTAACAGGAGCAGCATAGGCTACTCACCCTCTCAGGGGACAGGGTTATGTCTCCCTAAACTGTGTTTTATTGGATTTTTTTTCTTTAACCTATTAATCACCATTGGCAATCACATTGAGAAGTTTTCTAATAAAGAACTGTTTTAGTGATTAGTTGATCTCATGAGAAAGCATTTACAAAACCCTGAAACTATCTTGCAACAGAGTAGTTCTTGCTTCCCTCTCTGTTCTCTGCATATTCAACTTTCACAGCTGAACTTCTCAGTTCCATTCTAAGACCATATGCTTAATAACCATAACTGACTTATTTCTCATGTGCTTTTCCACTCAAAAATCCCCAACATTTTCTTACTATTTTCTTTTTCCAATACATGCAGAAAAGGAAGTAAAACAAGAGCTGCAGAATATGAAACCAGAGAAAACCTTCACCACTCAATATTTGCTAATTCTGCACCTTATAAAATATTTATTATATACCAAACTGTTTCCTGAATGTGAATTTGCATGCTATGTACTCTCTGTGCTCTCTGTTACCTTCCATGTTCTTTTGCTCTTTTCACCCAAGTATGGCAAGCAAATCTTTCTTTTAGTCCTGTTAATAGGAATCCTAAGAGTTCCTTAACTGCAGCCTTAACTGTCTTTAAAAGATCACTTAGCTTTTGCCCTACTTTTTCCAAGAAAATATGCTGATGGTTTTGTTACAGAAAAAAAAATATTTTAGTTAGTATAATACAATTGAACTGTTTCTGCCTGCAAATCAGGATCTCTGACTTCCCTTGTGCTACTTCTTGAATTACAAGTTGCCTCTAAATATCCACAAAGCTCCATTGTTTTAATCTAGACATCTGCTACAACTCTTTTACCATGGTGGTCACAGAAACATTTTGATGGCAGCAGGCAACAAAATGTAAGACTGCTTTTTCTTTATGTTCCTTTTTAACCTTCTTGTATATTGGCTATGTATAAACTAAAAATTCTTCAGACTTTCCTTCTATCCTGTAAACACAGCATGAATTCACTTTAAGCAGCATGATCCTACTACAGTAAACATGATAAATTCCTGATGTAAACCCATGGAATGTTCAAAGGAAATTTCAGGTTGGGTAAGACTTTAATGTCAAGAGATAAATGTTAGAAGATTCTTCATTTTTACAAAAGTGAGAAATTCAAACTATGTGGTCAGCTCCTAGTACTCAGTGTTCTAGGCAGTGCTGCACTGATCATGTTCCCTGCACTTCAGTGTAATCTGAGGTGATTTGACTCAGGTGACTGAAGTGGCCCTCTCAGCTCAGCCTTCCTTTGCTGTGTCATGAGAAATAGCTAGACACTGAAACCACAGACTTCATAAACAAGGACAGAAGAGTTAGGAAGTAAGAAAAATAAGAGGAACTCAAATGACATGAAACCTCTTTTTACTCAGGGCCATCTGAGTGTCTCAAGAGTTACTAGCAAGTCAGATCTCATCTCTAAGTCCCTGTTTTGATCTACTTAAACAATCAAGGAAAATCTTTCCTTTCTATCAGTCTTCCAATATAGTCTATAAGATGGATATGTACAGTCAAGAGGAAGCATGAAGTGTCATTATCATAAGATGCAGCATTTTGGACCAAATCTATGCTAGGCATTAGGTTTGGCTGAGATTCAGTACTTTAGGAGAGGACAAGATCCACTGCCCATGGGCCTATTGGAACTCATGTCATTTGGCAATAGAGCATAGATGAAGAGGTAAATTTGGCTACATTGCTAGGCCTGATGTACTACTGCTAAGAAAGGAGCAGTTAACCATGTTATCAGCTTATACTTCTGCACTGACTCTTATGGTCCCACTTACATGACGGTTGCGTTGACAAAATTATGAAATCAGTGAGGTTTTTATCTGTGCATACCAATGTTTGCAAGAATTAACTCTATTTGCTCTGTGCAAAAGTGAAATTAAGGTTCCTGTTTTAATCTTCTACTACCTCTCAAAGAGCCTTCAAAAGAAACATAGTTCTCAAAGATGACTGCTGGAGGCAGCTGTCCAAGGCCATTAGTGGGAGTATAAGAGAACAGCTCTAGCTCCTTGATGGGCTGTTTGTTTTACAAGGACTTCAGTCGTGCAGATGTGAGTAAAAAGCAGTGGAGAAAATGTGACAACTGAATATTGAGGCAGAAAATTTACCCTAGGTATAGGGTACAGACTGATAGAAAGGAAAATTCTGGTCAGATAGCTTGTACTAAAGTTTGTCTGAGTCTTTTCCCATCCTGTGAGTTGTGAAATACTTGGCTCCTTGTGGCCTAGGACTCTAGTTCAGTTTCATGTGCCCATGAGGTAGTAAACCTCGTCTGTTTTGTGTTGTTGTTGAATAGTGAGCGACTCCTGTCTTGGGAACATATTGGGAAATAGAGCTTCACTTTTTTCTGCAGTAGATAACTAAAGTTGCTGCTTTTTTTTTTTTGGTGAGCTAATGTCACATTGCTATACTTAATGTACTAATAGCAATTAAAAACCACAAATGGAGTGAATAAAAGGAGTGTTAGGTGGATGGGATCAAGTCTAAGGGGTTTTACCTGTTGCTTATTGCAAATAAGGTCTTGCTAAAGGCTTTTAGCTTTAATTTCAGTGAAGGAATCCTATTGAAAAAAATCCCTATGTGCTGTGAACTTTTCCCCTATTGAGAGGAAAAAATTACTTTTTGATGACAAGCAGGAATAACAAATATATATGCAAAGTTCAGAGAAATATTCTTCCATTAACAGTTAAGGATTTTACTTGCCTGTGTTTATTTCAGTTTATGAGCTAAATCAATACAACTCAAATATCTTGGGCTGTGACATTATCAGAGTTAGAAAATTAAATTCTAGTTAGTATTTGTAATTTCTATCTATTTAGCAACTATTCAGAACAAAGTACAGGGAATTACGATGTTTCTTAATCAGTAGTTACTTTGATCTTCTTACAAACTATTGACTTAAGATTTAACAAGAGTAAGCACAAAAAATGTGAGGTACAATTGAAATAAATAAAACTTCAAAAGCAAACACCTGATGTCAAGCAGTTTTCACAGTCAGTCTGGATACATTCACACAGCCAAAATAGAGGCCTTGCAAGTACTAAATTTACTGGTTTCTTATGGCAAAGTCCACTCTGTTCTATAAGAGAATACAAAATAATGCTTTCATTTTCAAGGGGAAGTTCTTATGATAATAAACACTTTGTACTGCCACCGTAACTTTCTTACACATAAAAAAAGGTATCAAGGATG